ATGCGAAATCTCACATACACTCCATCAACAGACGACGCACACAGACAGATACGCCCATGAGTTTGCGAGAGACATGTTTTGTTCTGTGTATTGATTGGCGCTGCACTTCTCTTTTATCACCATAAATGGATAGACGTTAGACCGTAGGCCGTAGCCCGTACCGCCCTCTCCCGTCCTCTCCATCAAAGAAGAACAAACAAAGTGTGTGTTGTTTCATGCGATTTGGTATTGCGATAACTTTTAACTTCGAGACGTCCCGCAGCTCCGCGATATCCGTCCTGGCGATCTTCCGCCAACGGATCTTACCCCGCCTGTGTACGTGGCTGGGTTCACAGCGATTGTACTTTTAGGGATCCCTAGCTTACAGGGAGAACTCTCTCTCTCGATTGTAGGGAAATTGGCAAACCACGGTCGCGGCCTTCCGACTCGCGCCTCCGCCTCACTGGCACTATTGTAGCCCTGGCCGGTGCGCGTGCAGAGTTGAAGTTCCGGAGTGAAAATTCGAACGCGCTCTCTCCCGGTGACCAAAAATGTCCACCTCAGAGGCACCTCCGGAGGCAGGCCGCCGCACGCCGGCGACACAGCTCCAGCTGTCGAACTGACCCGCAGCTCCTCTCAGAGCGGGAACTGTGACGAAAGTTGACTGAGGCGGTTGTCAGGAATCATCATACGGATCACATGGTGACTCTCTCATGACGGGAGACTGCCCGACCACTCCTGGGTGGCACTGCCACCGGTGTCGCTCAACGTCCTGTCGACAGCGTGCCGACAGCGACACAGACCATGTGGGACGCGTCGAGTATCGACCTCTACTGCTTACCCAGCCTTCGAGTGTATCCTGGCTGTGGTCCCACACCCACTGGTGTCCATCTCAGAGACCGCAGGAGGTCATGAGGGTCGATGGGAGTGCCAACCCCACAATGCCTAAAAACCCAGCCCAGTACAGCGCAGTAGAGTCTCATCTCTCTAAGACATCCGCGAGTCTTATCTCTCATGAATATTTCAGAATCGAGATGAATATATATACTGTGTACCCACACAGCGCGCCATGAGATTGATTGTCGCCCGGCTCAACACAGCCACCGGCGCCAAGCGAGGTCAAACTTTGGACCCCCCTACGGGGTGGCTTGCCCGTCGGGGTCGGCCGCGCCGACACCGGAGGCAATCCCGGCTCCGTTGGAGACAAGTTCGCCTTCGGCAACACCGAAGAGCGCGCCCGCCTTGCAAACATGGGCTGGAGACCGCCGTCTAGCGGTCGCACTAGTCTCTTTTCGTTGTTCAACCTGTTTGTTCAACGGTTGTTCAACCATACTTTGAGCCTTAATTATTAATTCGGGTTTGGGTCTCTGAGGTCGATACTAGCGTCCATAACTTGCCACAAGCATGCTTTACAAAAGTCCAGCGGAGGGAGACTCTCAGAACGGCCGTCCGCGCGCGCTGTGAACAGCGCCGTGGTCAAACACTGTTCAACGTCGTTGAACACGAGACCGCAGTTCTTCAAGGGAGGGGTCGCGTAGAAATTGACGGAGAAGATGGAAGAAGTGGTCGTCGAACTGCACGGCAACGTACACATCGCGGTATTCGACATCGTACACACATAGTCAGGAAGGAAGGCGAGGGGGGGGGGGCTTAGAGCAATGTACGTCGAGGGAGAAGAAGAGGTGACATGCCCGAGAACCAAGGAGAAGGTAATGAAGCGAAAGGTTGTCCGAGGGGGGGCAATCCGAAAGGCGGCAGCGGAAAGGGGGAGGGAGATTGATAAGAGGCGAGAGGTCGACATGAAGGCGGTAGAAAAGCTGCTAGAGCTGACCCAACCCGAGACGGGGGGACAACCCACATCGAGCGAGGGGACGGAACGATAGCCCTAGTCTGGCCGGTTTTTTTGCGGTATCTTGATGTATCTCTCCATATCTGACCATATCCCGCCATATCCCGCCATATCCCGCCA